GTACTCCTTGCTCTTGTTTGATGGGGATCTTTTGGAAAGAAAAAAGAGGGTAGCATTAGTAGGCACCAAGGTGGTTATTTCAAAAGACAAAAAAAAAAAGTAGGCACCAAGGTGGTAAAACTTTACAAATCTGTCAAAATATCAATCAGGTTCCCTAAAACCCCACAAGTAAAAAAAAGATAACCCTTTAGAAAAACCTACATCCAGAACCAATTATTCTTATTCCGATCAAAAGAAAATTATATGCCCTTAAAAGCTCTTTTTTCTCTTTACTTAAAATAACCAATAAGGTAGCCAAAGTAATAAGACCTAACTTCTTACTATACTATTTATCTCCATCGATGCCTCTTTATGCCCATAGCTCCTCTTTAACTTAACTTGCCCACTTTATCCCTGGAAGACTATAAGCTACAGAACAGAGCCAATAAGAAAAGGGAAACCAAGAAGCAGATGATTATCAAACTTTGCAGTTCTCTTGCACAAGTAACATCTATTTACATTTCCCTTTTTTATCAAGTTGTCTACAGTTTAAGATACAATCCTTTGCTGTTTCCCAAGCAAAAAAGCCCACTCTAGGTGAGGCATTAATCTTGGAGATCAGTATTCATGGGAATTCTTCATCAGTTCTGCAGTTCTGATTCTTTCCAGTATCGACAAGGCTCTTTTGATCTGAGCTTCCCTACCAGCTCATTGAAAGATTCAGAAGGTTTCTCGCACTGTGATAGACATCAAGATAAATTTAAATATCGGTTAACCTCTAGACATGAGTTTCTTGACCAGATTGATCATCCAGATACCATTGCCCGCAGTGATGGGGTCCCATTCCATTCAGACTTGATAATAAATGGCTGGGTAATGACAGTTTCAAATCCCTAGTGACAAATGTCTGGATTGATACTCATATTTCAGGCACCATCAGCTTTAGGATTGCTCAAAAAGTAAAAAGATTTAAAATGGAAATCAAAAGTTGGGCAAAAAATGCCGCAGAATGGAAGAGGAAAACATCAACGACATCCTATCAGAGATTGATTTTCTTGACAGAAAAGAGGAAAATGTTTCATTGTCTGTAACTGATACGAATAGAAGGATCTCCTTGAAAATTGATTTAGCACAAAAACTACATTTAGAAGCAATTTCTTAGAAACAGAAATCAAGAGAAAAATAACTTAGAGACGGGGACAAGAATTCTAAATATTTTCACATGTTAGCTAACCACAGAAGAAGAGTAAATTTTGTTGACGAACTTGTTGTGAATGACAGATGCATCAAAGGTAATGAA